GGAGAGCTCGCTGCCAGTGAGATCTGGCTGCTCACCATACAGGCAGCGTTGCATAGGGAGAACCATCAGCAGCCGAGGTTCCGGCCACTGCAGCGACTCGGGACAGTGACCTGTAGCTGTTGCAAAAGAGCGGCAGTCAGTGGAGGAATGGCAGGGGGGACCAGGGTAGGGCAGGAGGCAGCAGCGGAGACATGCGCGGGCTCTCGTCGGAGTTTTCTTCGCGAGCTGAAGCTGAAGAGAGTCCGCGTGACCTAGCTCTGCAGATGCCTGGTTGTAGCACTGGCAGAGCAGACTATTCAAGGCATTCTGACTCAGTGAGCGTCCATACCGACTCGCAGGAGGGCGACTCCTCTGGTTCGACCTCGACCTCAACCCACGGGCCTGCATACTGCTGGAGGTCATCTGCTGGTTCATATTCGACGTGCGGCAGTCGAAATCTGGTCTTGTGGTCTCCGGAGGCAGGTACCAGCTGAGCGGTTTCCGTGGTGCATGGGCTGGCAGCAGGGTCTGTGTCGTCCACTGAGATCGGAGTCGTTGTGGTCGATGTCCGGGGCATCCTCTTGGGAGTCGGTTTAAGCCGAGGCATCCTCTTTGTCGTTGGCTTGAGCCGAGGCATCCTCTTAGCTGCCGGCTTGTGCTGTGGACCCAGGGTCTTCGAAGAGGAGGAGGAAGGCTCGGATCCACGGCTTCTTTCAGAGGTCTCTGGGGCGGCCAGGGCCTCATTGTCTTCAGCTCGCTCTTCAGCTCGCTCTTCAGCTCGGTCCGGGTCTGGCTGTGGGGAGGGCTTGCTGTCATCTTGTGGCGGCCCCGGATTCCTGGGTCTTGTTCGAAGGGAGCGGGCGATGACCTGCGAGAAGACTGTGACCGGAGGCGGCGCCCGTTTCCATCTCGCTCTTTGGATCTCCTTTTTGTTGGCCTGCTGCTTGACGCTGGGAGGGCGACGTGGCCCACCTTGGCGAGCTCTGTGTGTTCGCAGCAGCCATTTGGGGTTGATCGGGATGACCGGGGCCATGCTACACAGTGCCAGACGCAGGGGGCACTGGAGTCAGGGCTACGAGGCCTAGGCAAGCTTATGTTACCTACGGCAGTATATTGGAGGTCCTGCGGAGAATTGTCGGCACTCGTCGCAAGGGAAGAGAGTCTTGGCGGTCTTCGAGTCACCCGCGCTGTCATGCATGTATATTGCAGTATGCAATGATGATGTAAGCACTTGAGCCAGCATGGGTGAGATGCGATTCGCACAGACACTGGTGCCTGCATAGCCGGGCGGTGCACAAAGCAGGTTGGAGGCCGAGGTCGCTGCATATCTGGTGCAGGGCTGTGGTCTGCTGCTCCTGAGGGTGGGGAGGACCTGTCAGGGGTACCTGTGCACAGGTGTTGAGGTCGGTGCCAATGCGGGACACAGGTTCCAGCATTGGAGGAGCAGAGACAGGTTGCCCGAACTTGGTTGGCGCACTGGGCATGGTTAGAGGTTCCGGCCTGCAGTGTCAGCACTTCCGGCAGGGAGGTCAGTCGGGCCATTGCATCAATAAGGTTCCGGCTGAATGGAGTGGCTCCAGCGGCGCCGGCCTGAGAGTGGGAGCAGGGGCGGTAGAACCCTTGACCGGACCCCTTAGGTAGCATGGACAGCTTCGGTTGTAGCAGATTACGCACGAGGCATCTTCTTGCGGGGGCTCGGTTGTTTTGAGGCTGTTGCATCGCGGCGTCCGAGTGAACCGGAAGAAGGGCAGATCCAGGCGTCGTGCAGAAGTGCCAGTGCCTATGGGGCACATGGTCGGATGTGGATCGTGATGGTCCAGCCTGTAGATCCTGGCACCCAGCCGGCCGCTCGCACAGGGCGAGGCCTCGGCACAGGTGGTGCTCCAGCAGGTCCTCCTGTGTGGCTGCCAGCAGGTCCTCCATGGTGGGGCCCAGCTGGGGTAGGTGGAGGCGGTCCATGTGCTGCTCCATGTGGTCCAGGTGCAGGTGGCCGAGATGCTGTAGGCGAGGGGATCGGCGTGGTGTCACCTCCTGGTGGGGCCGTCGCTGGAGGCAGCGCTGCTGATGCTGTTGGAAGTGGTAGCGGAGGTGGCAGCATGGGATGCGAGGTGGTCGCCGCAACGGCCGCAGGTGATGCAGCGTCCGCCGTCGATCCTGTGGTAGTCGGCCTTGGGAGAGGAGTGGTCGATCTGGCTCTCGATCCGTCCCGCGGGAGGTTGACCGGTGGATGTACCTGGGCCAAGGCAGAGGTGGGGCAGGCAGGGGTGGGGTCCAAGGAGGCTAGGGACACAGTTGAAGGACGTGAGCCACGGGGGTCCTTTTCCTGTGGCAGCCTCGGGGTCCGTACTGCGGTTCCAGGTCGCTTGGTAATGGTGGCACTCAGCAGGGCTTGTCTTGAGACGATTGCGGACCTGAGGCCTGGGTGGAAGTCGTCGGTCCTGTAGGGGAACGAGATCTCGAGCGGGCGCGTATTGGAAGAGTGGAGCCGGCAGATACAGCTGGCCCGGTGGGAGTTCCTGCCAGTGAGGCAAGGGTCCGCTCTGCTTCCTCCGCTGCTGCCAGGAGGTCCGCCGTGTCAATGGAGTCTGGGGATCCTGGTTGGGCCAGAGATGACTGAGGTTCCCTGAGCTCGGTCGTGGTCTGTAGAGGACCAGGACGTGTAGCCAAAGTTGAGCCGATGGAGTGCCAGTTGTTGGTGTTCCAGACCTGATTATGCAGACCAGCTCGATATCGCTCTCTGACAATGGTGCTGTCCAAGGTCTGATGTAGGCTGGCCAACGCCGCTGTGAGGTCAGCGTGTTCTGTAGGTGGAGGCGATCCAGCCGCCGCTGACGGGACACCTGATGGCGTTTGCGACATGGTACAGCAGGGCCGTGTGGGATTATAGAGACCCGGCAAGAGCTAGACAACAGCTTGAGCCTGCAGGTGTAGGCAGGAGAACCAGCAAGCAGAAGGCATGGAATGGTCTGGCTGCTCAAGCTTGTGCAATGTCTCTGTGCAGGCTGGGGCTCGTGCCTCGCGCGCCAGTGCACACCGATCGGGGACGTAAGTTTGGACCCAGCGGCTTTCGGATAGAGGAAGTGGGGATTGGAAGGGGGAAGTAAGGCCAGGAGGAGGAGGAGGTATGGGTGCACCATCCTGCGGCCTACTTCTACGCGCACATACACACACACTACGTTTCGTCGTTCGAGCCCAGGTGCTTGGTAGTAGTAGTAGTAGTAGTAGTAGTAGTAGTAGTAGTAGTAGTAGTAGTAGTAGCAGTAGCAGTAGTAGTAGCAGCAGTAGTCGTAGCAGAAGGGGAGGAGTAGGTAGAAGTAGCAGAAGGTAGGAGTAGGTAGGAGTAGGTAGAAGTAGGAGTAGGACGAGGACGGAGGAGCAGGAGTAGGAGACGCTGTTCAATCATGTTTTACTCTGCGTGGCCTCAGGCAGGAAACCTGCGCAGATACAAGCCTAGCCTCAGCACGAGGGAAGGTGGCCACTGGTGGAGGTCACTTCGAGGTTGGGCTTCCTTCAAAAAATGACCCATGCTCATCCAACAAAAGACCTCCCAAAGAGACCGAAAGCTAGAACACTACACCCCAAACCCTACCAACCTCAACATGATGAGCCTGCGAGAGTGTGCGACTTGGACCCGATTGCCGAGTTCTACCCCACAATAGGAGGGGAGTGGTGGCCTTAACAAGCACAAAAGGGCTCCTTTCAATCGTTCTTCTGGGGTGCTCCTAAGGTCTTAAGGAACCCTGACGAAAAGCATTACTAGTCATTTCAGCGTCTTTGCTCCATGCCTCAAACGCAAGGGCTCCGATTGCGGTCGACTGCTTCCAACCTCGATACCATAAAAGGTCCCCTTCCCCTTTTTTTCTCACCGTCTTCTGCTTTGACATCGGTATTGCCCGGCGGCTTCAAGGACAAAAGCTGGCAGCATGTAAACCGTCCACTGCCACTGGAGGTCCCAACGTGGCCTACCGGCTGATCGAAGCGCCACACCGCTCTGTCGTGTATGCTGGTATAGTATAGTTACTATTACATGTATCCCAATACTTAGACCAAAACTCGCCCTCATATGGGGAGCCCATAAAACTCTCTCTCAGTTCTTGCGACTCGCATAGCCCGCAGGGAGCTTGTCAGGCGGGCAATCGATGATGTCGTCGCGACCGGTCCTGGAAATCTCCGCGAACCAATAGTACGATGCATGGACTAAAGGAGTACAGAGGGAAAGGCCATCACTACAAAAACACCTCGCGATTGCAACAACGATCACCTGATCCTGGTAGTGATATTTCAATCGCGAAGCCCAATATCAACATCTCGAAGAAAAGCCTACATCCAGCGTCCCGACATCTTCCAGGAACGTGATGGTGGCGAAGGCATTCTCCGCGATGTGCATTGGCCATGTCGGCCCCTGACAGGAAAACCTAAGCCCTAGAGGCCCTGGACCCTAAACTTTAACCTCTTGCCCTTAACCCTAAACGCATTCCCTAGACCCTAAGCTTTAACCTCTATACCCTGAACCCCAATCCCATTGCCGGCCCCTGACAGGAAGGCCTCAAGGAAGGAAAAGATCGGAAGTCGTAGCAAGTTTGGGTTTACGGTTAAGGGTTTGACACCACGTTGAAGGATCAGTGAGTTTCGTTGGCATTCCCGCCTTGCTGTCAGGGATGTCGGTGAGACTGTTCCCACCCGAGATGCAACTGGCAGACTCAAGGACCCCTGTACATTGGGGCCTAAATGAATACCTAGCCTATACTATTTTGGCGGTGCCTTCTTTTAAGTAAAGTATAACATACCCCATACCCCTACTCTAGTTGTTAAGGCCCCTATATTATCCGTCGCTGTCTCTCCCTCATCACTCTTCCCGGAGGCGCCACTTGTTGTGAGTCTAAAAGACACTGAGCCCGGTGCAGTTAACGAAGTTAGGGAGGAGTGGGGAAGGGCAGGGTACAGTCGGGTAGGGTAGGGTAGGCTGGAATGGGGAGGTGCACAAAACGGTTTTGTGAGGTGTGCAGATTGGGCCGGATGTTCTAGCAATTCCGAGGACCCTTTATAGAGAACAACACATGCACACTTAATTTCCGAACCTTCGGGCGGAGACTGTTGTAGGGTGAAGCCCAAAATTCGGAAGGGGCCTGTTCCCGTCGCTTGAGCATCTCCTCCACATGCTCATCCTCGTGGCAAACTGTGGCCATGGGGTCCTCCAAGGGCGGATGGGGCCCAGGATTTGCCAAAGGTTTAGGGTTTAGGGTTTAGGGCTTAGAGTTTAGGGTTTAGGATTTAGGCTTTAGGGTTTTAGTGTTTTAGGGTTTAGTTCCGGGGCCGCAGGCATCTGAACCCCAAGCTCAGGGGCGCGTGAGAGACGCAGGTCCCTTCTGAAACTCCGAAAAGGGAGTTTCCGAAAATTAGGGTTACCTTAATTGGGGGTCCTTATAATGAAGATATTGCTATTTCAAAGGATCCCCTATTTTTCCGAAACTCCGAAAAGGCTACGAGCTGAAGCAACTGCCGACTTCAGTTTAGGGTGTAGGGTTTACGGGTGCAGGAGTCCTCCGTGATCCACTTCGGCATCAGGAAGTAGGAGTGGAGCCAACGGTCTTCCAGGGAAGTGACCATCGTGACGATGTTCCCGACAGGCTCCTGCTCTCAGAATGGGTTTAGGGTTTAGGGTTTTGAAGATTACGGTTTAGGTTTAGGGGATGAGGGGTCTCAGAATCAGCGTTCTGGGATTCGGGTTCTATGTCGGGGGGTGGTTCCACAGGGAGGTTGTAAAGATGATGTGAAGATTTGGGGGCCAGTTTAGGGCAGTTTAAACAATGCAGCTTGCTGGGACTTCTGTGACTTCTGCTGGGCGGCCCTGAAAGCGCATGTGGAATTGTGTGACTCTTTAGTCCCGAGCTAAGTGGTCGCTGATGGCCTCATCAAGAGTTTAGCTGCCAATATACAATGAAGACCAGAGGGCACACGACGAGCAAACACAAAGATTAATCATTGTGGCAATGCACGGTCATGAAGATCATCATCATCTTCTTCATCACCATTAACAACATTATGTTTATCTTCATATGAACTCTTGCAATGGTGTGACCATCATCTTCCTCTTTATGGCCACGATGAAGATGAAGATGCAGAATGTAGAAGCTGCAACTTTCAACGTGTGTCTCAGAGCTCCTGCCAGTTGATGCGAACCAGGCCTTTCCCGAGGGCAGTCATGCAAACCTCACGGTTTGTGACCCAGCGGCCAGCAACGAGACCGCTGTGGATGCGGTAGTGGATCATATCCTAAGGTAGGGAAACTGGAAACCCCAGATGCCCAGTCTTTCAAGCAAAACAAACTATCTGGTTCTTGGCAGGGAATGGGGGAATGAATTGTGGAGACTATTATTGGGGATTATATACAGGTACTACTATAGGGATCCATTCCCCCATTCCCTACTATGCACCAGAAAAAGTGCCACAGCCCCTCGCCAGATCAACGGTGCTTAACTCCTGGAAGGCTCGGCACTCTTGAAGTAGATCTCGTACTGCCAGCCGTTCTCATAGGTGTAGATAATGTGCTTTCCAAGAACCTCGGAGAGGTCCTTGGATGCTACTTCGGAGCCTTGGGATGTAGTGTCCCTGGGTTGCAGGGTGTAAGTTGTAGGGTTTAGGGCCTTAGGCTGTAGTGCTGAGGGCTTAGGACGTACTGCAGCATTCAGGCTGCTTCGGGTGTAGTGTTTAGGGTTTGGGATGTAAGGTCTACAGTCTTATAATCGTCCAGCCCTACATACACAGACCAGTCTTTACTAAGGCCATCTGGCATCCTGCTCGGGATACTTCACGGATTGATCTGTCTTGGCTTTCTTCGCCTCTGGCATTTCTGCAGCTGCCATCGCGGCAGAGGCTCCAGTCAGCCGGATGGTATCTTTACAAGCAGGATAAGCAGGGAGCCACAAGGATTTGAACCTCCATGGGCTACGTGCAGATTTGACTCAGCTGCCTGTAATCAAAGCTCCGCCCGAGGCTATGAAAGTCTCTACATAAGATATTACATAACCCTAAGCCCTAAGCCCTAAGCCCACAAAGCTCTGAAGTCCCCACCACCAAACCTGCAATCTGCGATCTGCAACAGTGACGCGCCTGGTGCTGGGATTCTCCGCATCCCGACGCCTGGGAGGCCATGGGCACCTGCTCTCTGCAGTCTAATCAGGACTGTGTGGACCATATTTGTTGACGTGCCGGTCGTTGTGTCAGAACTGCAAAAAGCAGGAAGTACAAAGCTCTGGTCGTGTGGAGTTACTCCCGGACGCTGCTCGCGATGCCCCCTGGAAAGTGCACGAACCAGGGAGCTCGGTCTTACCGAGCTCCCCAGTTTCGGGTGTAAAGTTTAAACTGGGATGCTCGCTCCAAAAAGAGGGGCTTCGGCTTTAGGGCCGTAGGCAAGAGGAGGCCTTGATACCGTGACAGCATGGCTGAGCTTTTGTAGTCACTGTTTGATGACTCGACTCACCTTTCAATGTGGCTTCTTGGTTAAACCACGCTGTCATCTTTCCTCTCCCTCCCTCGTTTCGGCCCTCTGAATCTGGAGCAAACTGCACCACATGATTTCAGCAACTCCAATGCAGGCGAGGAGCCAGGATCCCGAGCAGGAGTTGAGAGGGCATGGCAAAAAAGCTGCGATCCAATGTCACTGTGCGGAAGCTTTTTGGTGTAGACGCAACGTACACACACACAGACACAGACACATGAAACCGGTCTGCACAGCAGGATCCTGGTGCAGCCCATGTTCCCCTCCTCGCGCAATCTTACTCCGAGGTCTGCTCAGCTTGTACCCCTCTCGGCTGGTACCACCAGCAGGGGGAGCCGTCAAGCCTCGCAGACCTTGAACTGTACAGAAACGTCTCCTCCAGGCCGGATAATGATGACACTTTCGTCCCACCGTGCCCAATCCGAAGCAGGTGGATACAAGTGAAGGCTGACAGCGATGCTCTTTCGACGCAAAAAAAAGAAAAGCTATCCGAGCTTTAGCACTGGGGTGACGACAAAGAGCAACGCTATGCCAGCAATACTAACCGGCCAGCTGTCTAAGATGTCAGAGGTCCATGTGCGCCTCACCTCCCACCCCAGACGCTTTGTTGAAGGCGCGGAGAACGGCGAAGTGGTCCTCGGCGTCTTGGAAACCTGCCTGGACACGCAGCTGCGCCACCGTGTTCTCAAAGCGTGAGAGGTAGAGCACGGTCAGGAGGAGCGGCATGATCTCCGGGTCGATCTTATCCGTGTCTGGGAACATAGAGCTCTTTGCACCGTAAAAGAGCAACTCTGCCGTTGCCGCTGCCTTCTGTTCTGTCACTTCGATGCCCATGTTGGCCAGCCAGGACTTCAGCTTCTTGGTGTCCTTGGCTGCTTCCTGGGAGGTCGGAGCCTCGTGCGCGAAGCGTCGGAAGCGACGGCGCTGCTCCTCCGTGGGCTCACAGCACTGCCCGAAGTCCAGCAGTGCCAGGCGCCCGTCCTTCAGGACCATGAGGTTGCCTGGGTGCGCATCCATCTGGAAGAAGCCATGCTTCAGCACCATGTCTGCAAAGGCACTGTAGGCGGCATCCCGCTGCTTCCGTCCAAAAAGGTCGTTCTGCACTCCTGCTCCCTGCTTCCAGCCAGCAATGGCCTCCGCCGCTGTGATGCCCTCCAGCTTCTGCATGACCAAACCCTCCGGCGAGGACATGTACACCTTCGGGCCAGGAATCATGCAGAAAATTGAAGCTGCTGCACAGTCAACATGCCATGCTCATGTAGTCCTACCCTGGACTTGCTACTTGCTACAATGCTGAAATCCAAAAGTCTTCTTAAATCGCAGTACACGGGAAGACCGCCGCCTGAGCGACGGCCACATCTGTGCCGTGCCGCCGGAAGAGCTCGCGCACACGCTCCTGATTCGCCGCTTCTTTCGTGAAGTCCGTCTCCATCTCCACCGTCGGTGCCAGCTTCTCCGCCAAAGCCGCCAGCATGACGGCCGCACCCTTCGCCTCTTCATACTTGTTCACATAGGCACCTAGCTCAGCCATGGTCTTCAAGTCGCCGGTATACTCCGCCCTCACGTGCGCGTGCTGCACCTTTGCAACAGCTGGCCGTCCATTCCAAGTGGCCTTCAAGTGCACCTGCGCGATCGATGCAGACTTCTTGGGCTCATAGCTCCAATGCAAGCTGGGACCAAAAGCACCCAGCACTCGCTGCACATGCTCCGGCGGGCTGAAGAATTCCGTGTTCTCTTGCGCCTTGGAGAACCACTTCCTGTACCCGTCGGGAAGGTCATCGCGCAGCCCCACAAACTGCATGGCTTTAAATGGCAAGCCGCCCAATCGAAGACCCACCTCGTAGAGCAGTTTTGCGATCGCATGGTGCCGCTCTTCCCAAGAAAGCTTGGAGGTTTCAAGGCTTGGCCAAAAGCTGGCTAATCCAGGCACCCACCGGCTGATCGTCTCCACGGGCGCGCTGTACTCCTTCATCATGCCGATAGTGTAAATGCTGATGGCGACATCCACTACGGCTTTTGCCAACGCTTTCCGCTCATCTTCGCCCAGCACAAGTCCACCCTGAACAAGATCTTGTCCGACCATCCTTCCTCAGCTTGTCTTTTGAAAGGTTGCCCCTAGCCTCAGGAGCCATGAAGCTCCTCGTGCCTGCTCAGCCATCGTGATTCGCGCTCTCTCAATGCAGGCAAGGAGCCGAAAGATGGAGACACCGAGATGAAGCGAGGTAGGATTCAGCGAATCAGCTGGACAGCTCGAGCCTAGAGATTAACCAGGAAGCCGAAGCGGTCTGATCTCACATGATGGAGACACTGCGCCACACCCTGAAGCGACATGCACAGATGCATTGAGTCCAAACACATGATCAGCAGGACCCGTGTGAAACACGGCTGTTTGCTCCTTGTGCGACCTTGCTCTGATTTTAATCAGCTATACAACCCCCTTAGCTTGTACACTGCCTGTACCACAAGCCGGTGATCAAGCCTCGGGGGTGTTGCACGACCTAGCAATCTCATAAGCAACACTGTTGCTCCTATACTCGACAGCACGGCAATACAGATTGAATCACCATGGACTGCCAGAGCTCATGAGCTGAAAATCCCTTCCGTACTGCCTTGCTCGTGGCTCTGAGCATCCTACCAGGCAGCAGGCTTCGGCTGCCTTTCGTGACCGTGACCTCCGAGCAGCGTCGGCAAAGGCGTGTGAATGTGCGAAGCAACTCTTTCCATGAAGCCGTGGTCCGCGTCGAGCTCCTTCAACTCGAAGCTGAAATTTGCAGCCATCACAGCACTCCACTGCTGAACTTCTGCCGGCCGAACGAACTCATCTCGGAGACCGGCAAAGGCCATAATGTTGCATCTCACTTGCGGCTCAAGCTTGACATCACCCTCCTCCAACCTCGGCTTGACAGACAGGCCTGCTTTGTCAATTGCAGCTTGGAGCAAAGGAAACCTGCGAAGACTTGAGACTGCCTGTGGTATGACTGTCTTTGCAATTGACGCCATGGCATTCACCACCACCACCACCATCACCACCCGCACCAGCATCATCACCATCACCATGATCAGGAAAATCATCATGAGATACTGAACTTAGAACCCTGGCAAAAATTAAAATTTTAACTGTTTCTAAAGGGATTATAATAACCAAATATTAAAAATATGTCTAAGTACCCCTAAGATGAACTCTGGCATCATCATCTCCTGACTCGCTATGATCAAGACAAGAGTGATTTGAGACCGAACGCTCAAAGCGAGCTTTCCGCTGGCACCGGCCAATCCCGAGGCTACAACCCAGAAAACTTTGCAGGTCTTAGTAACTCCGGCCATCATCTGACAAGCTGCATCATCCAGGCTGCGTAGATGCACTTCGTGGTTTGCAAGATCTGTCGGTCTGTCGCTTTCTCAAGGAAGCCCGGGTCCAAGAACTTCATTTTCCGAAGCCTTTCCCTTGCTGCTTCCGGGCTGTCCGGTTCGGGACCGGGATCTTCCTGCCGGGGACGATGGAGAGGGCCATACCAAGCTCCGATGCTCAGGCGATGCAGCGTCACATTCGGCGCCGCCTCGAGCTTCTGAGCAACAGCCCATGCGACTCGAGCTCCAAAGGAGTGGCCATAGAATTCCAGAGCCGAGGATGTCCAGCCATTGTCAGCCAGCATTGCCAGGAGGTGCTGAAATAGCGCGTCGATGAGTTGGCCCCAGTCCTTGACGCAGTCCTCGTCGGGGCGGTTTGCCCATCCGGGCAAGGTGGCACACGCAACCGGAATCTGCAGCTTCCATGAAGACACGACTTCCGTGCCGCAGGCAATGGGCGGAAACACCACCAAGACCGCATCAGGCTGGCCCGGTGATGCCGGGCTATGTCGGAGCTGGTACCAGGACTCCCACAGGCACGCGTCGGAAGCAGGGGCGACCATCTTCTGAGCAAGTTCTTCTGCAATCTTTGGAAGAAGTGCATTCTCCGAGGTCAAGAAAACAGAGGACAGTTCGATGCCGAAGATGCCAAAGAGCTCCGACCTCAAGCTGGCCATCTCGAGGGAATCTAGACCCTGTTCTCTCAGCGGCAACGCCTCGTCCACCTCGTGCCCACGCATCTGGAAGAACTTCCTGAGCTCTTGGCGCACCAGGCACGTCCTCTCCTCCGGCGACACCGCTTGTTGCAAAGCTCGTGTCAGCGAAGCCGAGCCATGAATCATCGCCTGTATCTCCTCCAGAGTTGCCAGACCCCTTAGGCGCGAAAGGTTGTTGCGCTCCATCATGTTCACCACCAGGTTTGGGGTCATTTCGAGCTGCTGCCTGATGCTCAAAGCTCCGGAGATCCCAGCACAAACGCTGCCCGTCTCAATCAAGCTCCCAAGAGCTTCACAGGCATCTGCGGCGGTGATTGGGCTGATCCCTTTCCGCCGCCAACTGTCAACAAGACGCTGCTCATATGCATGGCCCTTGTCAGAAACAACGCCGACATTGAGATGACTTCCAGGAAGGCCCAGCTGGCGGCGATACGCCATCAGGTCTTCTGTGTAAGCATTTGCTGCCACATATGCTGCTTGACCTGCACTTCCGAGCAGTGAAGCAATTGAGGAGACAACGACGAAGAACCGCATGTCTCGCTTCCTGGGCTCTTGTTACGGGATGTAATTTAAGATACCATTACAGGGATCTATAACAAATGAAATGGCTTCCTTACTATGGTAACCTAAATTAACCCCCTTAACAAGAACCCAGATTCGGATTCAGCTTTTGCGTCGCCATGTGCAAGTTGTAGGCACACAAGGTCTTCACTTGCAGGGCGGCACGCCAATCCTCCACCGACTTCATACTCACGAGCATCTTGTCCGAATACTGCGTGGCTGCAGAGATGATGCCGGCGATAGGCTTCTGCCAGGGTGGAAAATTGACACGCGGTGCAGGGCAAGGAATCTGTTCACTTTCCCACTGGCCTCTGCGTGAATCTTTGCTAGCATCCGCTGGACGGATTCTGCCGAGCTGCAATCGCACTCCTCGGAACATATAGCTTACAGAAATGAGTGGAGGGCATGCGAGACAGAGAAAGGGAGAGAGGCCTGCACTGAGAGAATCGGAAACGGGGACTTGCTCAGGCAAAACTACTCGCAGGCCGCTACGAATCTGCGAGCCTCGAAGAAGATGCTTCGATGATCTCGGCAGTCTTCTGGAGCTGGCCTCAAACAAAGCGATGCGGCGACGCGGGTGCTGTCAGACGCTTGGTCAAGCGAATCTAGGCTGCAGACGCACGGCGGCCGACGACAACAACGTGCCCCCCGTTGGCCACAAGGTACTTCGCCATCTCCAAGCCAAGTCCACGGGTCCCGCCGACAACGACGTAGGAAGCTGTGTCACTGAGCATCAGACCTTCCTTCGTGAAGGTCATGTCGTCCGGCTCTGTCGACCGCAATGCATCCGCCTCGTCGAGGATAGTGGCGAGATGTCTGCGCATGAGCTCCGGCTTGGAGGAAGCCAGCTTGATCTGCACGGAAGCCGCCTGGTCGTCCAGGATGAAGGCTTCGCCAACACCGTGCTGTTCTGACACCAGTGCATGGCACGAACCGGGCTTTCTCTGAAGCAACTCGTCGATCTTCTTCTTCCACTCCGGATTGCTGGACTGAAGGCAAACCTTGCCGACACCCTCTATGGCATCGACGACTGCATGCGGCCACAGCCAGTCTCTTACAACTCCGAGGGCCCATTCAGGCCTCATGCCCGATGGAATCTCAACTGCGATGATCTCACTGGTATCGATTCCAGGCACTTGCTGGGCCAAGTGTGGCGGAAGCCAGGCCAAGACATTCTTTCCCTGGAGCATGCCAAGCCCGAGTGCTCCCTCAGACCCAAGCATCTCCACGTGATCCAATTCATTCCGGGAGCTGCGATCCTCCCACGGGGAGGCCACCACTCGGCACTCGAGGCACCGCACCTCTGTCATGCCGCATCTTGGTGCTCGAAGTGCGATTTCTGAAGCTTTGGGCCAGCTCCTCAGAAGCTTCGTCAGCTCAGCTCCCAAGTTGATGCTGGATCCCAAGGGGAGGTCCACAGACTGGATCCGGAGGCCAGACTGCGTCTCGTAGCCGAAGGCCAGTGCCAAAGATCGGATCATGCCCACGACCGGATTCACCTCATCCTGTCCAGAATTAAGAAGGCGCAAATCAGAAGCTTGCAAGCGTGTTGCGGCAAAACCTCGACAACCAAACAGATTCGGATAACTTACCTGTGTGTTGCAGGAGCATCTAGAACCCCTACACCGGATCTTCGGAAGCTGGAGGCTTTTCGCCCTTCTGGTCTGAGCACATGGAAAACTGCAGGCCGCGCCTCCTCCACGTTGCACCCACCCCTTGTAATCAATGTTAGAGTCGGGGTTCTGCTTGCACCTACAGGAGATCAGGAAAGGATTCTCGGGCTTCCCTCGGGGCTTCGAGATCGGTGCCTCTGCGCCCCCACGAGTCCAGAAGCTCGTAGACGTGGACGATCCGACTCAACGTTTGAGCGTGAGCAAGGGGCTCCAGCCAGTCCGCAGCCTCAGCAGATGCTCCCGTTCTTGGGGAAACCGAACGTGCAATGCTTTCTTTTGGAAGACATCGGATTTCGAGCAACGACTCCTGCGTTTCCGGCAACACCACACCGCACTGAAGGTGAACACCACTCAGTTCAGCTGAAAAGCCCCCTAAACCCTACACCCCAAACCCTGAACCCTAAAGAAGTTCAGCTGAAAAGCCGGGTGCACGTAGATCGCCGTATGCAAGGCAACCTCTTGGTCCTTGAACTCAAAGAGCTGCTTGGCCTTCGTCCCTGGAATCGGAAAATCTGGCTCATCAACTCCTTCCACGAGGATCAGTTTAGGGTTTAGGGTTCAGGGCTCAGGGTTTAAGGCTTAGGGTCTAGGGCTGAGGGTTTAGGGTGTAGATCAACTCCTTCCACGAGGAGCAGTTCGGGTAGCTCGGTGGGTTCTTCACCATCTTCTGCTTCGGCTTCACTCCACTTCAGCTCCAAGCCGAATTTCCGCTGGTTGATTGAGGAAAGGTTGGTGAAGACCAAACCTCTCCGGTTGCTAAGACATTCTGGCGACTGCCAATCTAAAGCCCGAACAGAAGCACTTAGTAGGCCCTCACGACCTGGGTTGTCAAGGGATTAAATCTAAGTTACCACAATAAGGAAACCAGATTATTTTCAATAGATTCTTCTTATGGTAACTTAGACTGATCGCTTCCTAAGGCAGACCCGGCCTTTCAGAGAAGCAGCGAGGAGACCCTCATCGGTGAAGGCGTCCACATCGACTACAAAGCCACCTGCCTGAACCTTGCAGGAGGATCTCGTCCAGAGCTTCCGCGCTCCTTTGCAAAAAAGCTGAGCTGAGGCGAGCTTCGTCGGAACGCCCTTGTAGTCAAAGTTGGTCATCATGGCAATGTAGCCTAGTCCGGTCTGGATCATGCTGTCGAGGATGGCGGGATGAATGTTGTAATTGCCATACTCAGCGGCATCGTCCCACTCGATAAGGGCATACACTTCACTGTCATTGTCCTTGGCGCTCCAAAGCTTCTTGATGCGGCGGAAAGAAGGGCCCAGCTGAAAGAAGTCGCTCAGTCGCTCGTAGAGGTCCTTGCCATCATATACCCGGGCATCCTCGGGAATCTCGTGGTTCACCCCTTCTGGTTTCGGGTCAACCTCCTCATCCGACAGCAAGATTAGCGCTTGAGCATGGAGCTGCCATTTCGCCTTGTCCAGCTTGCTGTAAAAGCAAACCTCGCCCTTCTTGCCACTCGGCCCCTGCTGAGACCTTGGGGTGTAGATAAGCTGTGTCTTTACCCGCTTGTCGGTGAAAGCCAGGGTCTGCTTGAAGACGATGTTCTCCACCTTGGCCGACTTCAGCGAACCTTCTGCGGCGATCTGGGCCGCAGCCTCTGCGAACATCTCTACACTCGCCATTCCTGGGAGTATGTGCTGTCCCTCGAGGGTGTGGTCCTTTATCCAAGGCTCATTCCCGAGCCACAGCACGTTGTTCCAAACCTCTGTGGCCTTCACTGCCAGCTCGGCTTTCTTGCCTAGTAGAGGATGCTCACCCGTCTTCGGAAAAGCTACCTCATCATGCGCAAGGTAACAGGACCGGATCTCGGTAATAAGCCGTACTACTTCTCTACCCCGAAACGGAGCCACCAAACTCCCGAACCACTTGCTTCAACTTCGGAGGAGCCGAGAAAAACACGGAAATTGGGAGCACACTTTGCTGGGTAAGGCTAAGGTGCCATCTCCTGGTAGATCGAGCCACGAAGCTCCATAGCTTGCAGAGACCAAGGGGGCGATCCCAAGTAGTTTCTGTATTGCGGCCGCTCTCCTGCAGCTTGCTGCTGGCCTGGGGATGAATTCGCATATGCAGACGACAGCTTAGAGACGTGAGAACCCTTTGACAGACTGCCAAGGACTTCATGCGCCTGGGCATCTCAGAGCTTGCCAATCCACATCTACCCCCAACGTCCAAAGGGTGCCGCAAGCAGACAGAGCACCCTTCAACCTCACTCGGCGTTGCAAACTACACATGATGGCTCGTGCAACTTTTCTTAGCAACCCTAAACCCTAAACCCCTAAACATGGAAGCATCCCGAGTACGGCACCAATCTTGCGCTCCCCCGGTGCTCTTCGATGCATGCTGGCTCCTGCAACTCGGGCAATTCACGCTGAAACTCCGAAGGGTAAAAATAGTGAATATAGTAATGGTAAGAGTAACTAGTATAAGTATAGTAGTAATAATAATGATAGTAATAGTGATAGAGATACTCATAGTAGTAATAATAATAATCATACGAGTAATAAAGGACCATTGGAAGTCAAAGGCGGGAAAGCGATTAGGCGCCTGGTGCACCGCAGGTACTGCACATCGGGGTTCTTCTCCTTCACGATCAACTGGATGTGTCGGCTCAAGTGTGGGATGGCCGCGATCTCTAAGAAATGCATGTGTTGAAAATTCATCTTCACAACGGTCTCTATAGCTGACTGGAACTTCACTGGCTGCCGAACGTTTTGCCACCAGTACTCGGCCTCAGCATCACAGAAGGCTCTCCTTGACACTGTGTTGCTACTGTCTGCAAGTGGCCACAGCCTCGTGCTGCTAAGATGCGGCTACAGCAGCCTCAACACTCTGTCCGGTCACCGTCGAGACCAGAATCGGATCATTCTTACCACGGGCTTTGCTAACTATGCTGCTGAAGCCGTGCGACAGCTCGTCATGTGCCTCAGGCAGCAAGCTGTGACTAGCGCGGTCTGCAGGATGCTGAACATGCAAGACAAAGTATACTGTTGAATGCCAGCGTTGCAGGATCCACACACTTGGAATGGAAGCCCACATTGATGTTGTCCAGCATCCGTCCTTCTTGCATGGAACTCTTCAGGTACACCCGCAACTTCTCGACTTCGTCGCTGTTGCCCGAGACCACCACACACTCTGAGGAGTTCAAGGCTGCGAGATCCACGTCTGCATTGCTCATTTTGATCGCTTGCTCCCCTCTCTCGGCATCCATCATCATCGCAATCATCTTCCCAGACCCTGCGTGCTTCTTCAGCGCACTGGCCCGGAGATAAATCACTTGCACAGCATCCTCGAAGCTCAAACGGCCAGCGACATGGAAGGCGGCCACCTCTCCCACCGAATGGCCGACACAAACATCAGGAACAACTCCTCGTTGCCTGAACCATTGTGACAAGCAAAGCTGGAAGGTAAAGATGGCCACCTGAGCAATCTCCGTGTCTTCAGAAATCTGCTTCGATCGGTCGCGCAAGAGCTGGGAGAGGTCATAATCAGCTCCAAGCTCCCGCAGGCGCGTGGCGATGTCGCCGATCACCCGGCGAACAGAGGGATCCGTGCCCAGTTTCTCCAACATCTCGGGCACCTGAGTGCCCATGCCCGAGAAAACAAAGACCAGCTTCGGCGATGCTCCAGCCGGCGGCGCGGCGCAAGGAGGATCCTCGCTCTTGCCGAGACGTTGCAGCGCTTTCGCGACATCTTGCAGTGTGTCCCCCACCACTGCTGCACGATAGTGGTACGATGCTGAGCACTCATTGATGGAGTACTGCACATCATCGATCTTGTCCTGGCACGTCGTCAAAGTCTGGGAGACCTGCTTGCAGACATCGCGCAATGCCGCGGGAGACCATGCTGAAACTTTGAGGAGGTGCGGCTTCTGTTGGAAACCACCCTGCTGTGATGTTCTTGCAGATCTGGATTTGCACTCGTAGCTCTCCAGGATAACATGGGCGCTACTGCCCCCGAAGCCGAAAGAGCCTAAGATGCACCAAAACAAAAGCCAGCACACATGCCGTTGGTGCCGTCACACTAAGCTGCGACAACGCGCTGTGAATCCCAACCCCCCGATTTGAGGATGCCCACCCGTGAGAACTCGAAGAGGAGCCGAACTGCACCCAATCCATGTCAAGACTTGAGCACAGAGGGTGGACAAAAGCTCACAAGCAAGCGGAGGCTGGCCAGCTGCACCGTGAAGGTCAGCAACATGGCGAAGTTGGGCATTGGCCCGAAACGGATTTGGCGTCATAACCCCCTTCTGCCCTAATCTCTTAAACTCAAGCTCCTGTGAAGACGCTTTCGCGATTGTCCGACCCCTCCAAAGTGCTGCGTGGCACAAGGAAGCTAACAAGGAGTCGTGTTACATAACCCGATGCCCACAAACGACCTCCCACAATGACAAAGTCTTTCCGAAACAGACCTAGCAGCTCACCCCGCCTGCTCGAAGGGAAGATCTCTGACAAAGAGTTGACGGCAGCATGCATGACTGTTCCCAGTCGATGTTGCTGGTCCTCTGCTTGTGTGCCGCGGGGCACAGCGGCACAATGGTTTGATTGTGAAGCATCATCGCCAAGTTAAAGACGCCAACTATACCGCTGGCAGCCTCAGTGTGGCCCATGTTCGATTTGATGGAGCCAAGCAGGAGCGGTGAGCGGTCCACATAACCCAGAACACTCGCAACTGCATGTCCTTCAGCAGCATCGCCTTCCTTGGTGCCTGTGCCATGACACTCCACGTAGTCAATGCCGAAAGGATTCATCTCAGCGGCGCAAAGGGCTTTATCGATCATCTTCTTCATCATGTCGGCAGCTGGGGATGCAATCGATGGATTGCTGCGGCCATTGTTGACACTGAAACCGGGGTGCCTCACTAATGCTCGAATCGGCGAATGGGACGCCTGTGCATCGGTAACCGGTGAGAGAACTGCAACACCGGCAGCCTCAGCACGTGCATATCCGTCGGCCCTCTCGTCGAAAGACTTGCACCGTCCGTCCTTGCTCAAGTACCCGCCAGCGACGAACCCGATGCTTGTGATCGGGGTCAGGCATATATTGCTTCCACCACACAGGGCCCTCGAAGCGCGCCCCTGCTGCAGTGCACCAACGGCTTCGGAAAAGGCCATCCTGACATGGTATAGAGCTCAGGGTTAGCTGAGACTTCATGCAGAATCTTAGTCTGGGTGTCAAGTGCATGTGCAACAACCCGGCTGCCGAGACACAAGCTGGAACTGCAAGCAGTGTCAAAGGCCATTGACGGACCCCTGAAGTCAAAGAAATGACTCAGGCGATTCGCGGTCATACAGGCATTGGTCCCTGTATTGGTGAACTTGCCCGTGTTCATCTGGTCTGGATGCAAAGTAGCATATGGCAAATATTCGTGGGCCGTCACACCCATGAAACAGACGGTCTCCTGCTCGTTGAACATCAGGCCAGCTTCGGCATAGGCTTCTGGGACCGTCATTAACAGCAAGCGCACTTGCGGGTCCATGGCTTCCGCTTCCTGGGACGACATGCGGAAGTAGCCCAAGTCGAAGCCGAAGATGGTATGGTGATCAAGCCAACCTCCGCGCAACGTGTGCAGTTTTCCTGGCAGTGCTGAGTCCGTGCTGACGTAAAACTTGTCGTCGAATCGCACCTTTTCGATTTCGCTCGTCAAGTCTTTCTCTGCTTTGAGATTGCTCCACCTCACGCCGAGTTCGGGATGTTTCTAGCAGACGTGCATGCACAGTCATGTCAGTCACACAAGCCCTGGCACCGAACCTTTTTGCTAGGTGCTGAAGGATTACGATGCAGAGAACAGTCCATCCAAGCGTCTGCGCAACTGGAAACTACAATCGTGTAAGCCCGACGCAGATCATCTGCACTTCCGCTTTGTGGACATCGCATCCCGAAGGCCCGAATGGCAATCGGTTCACGCCTCTAGCACAGAGCAGGTGGTTTGGTCACATTGAAGGTGCTGCTACTGCCGCTGCTGCCGCTGCTGCTGCTGCTGCTGCTTGTTCTGCTGGTTCTCCGACTACTGCTGCTGCTACTACTACTACTACTACGACGACTACTACTACTGCTAATACTAATACAACTGAAGGTAGTAGTATTAGCAGTAGTAGTCGTCGTCGTAGTAGTGGTAGTGGCAGTGGCAGTGGTGCGGTAGCGGTAGCAGTAGCCGTAGTGGCACTGGTAGTGGTAGCGGTAGTGCTAGTTAGGAGCAGCCATAGCGGTAGTAGTAGCTAGCGTTGGCAGCAGCACCACCACCACCAACAGAGCCATAAGTATTCGCAGCAGTAGACTGTAGTCGCGCCCTGGCTGCAGTGACAGCGACCAGCAGCAGTGGCGGTATGTCATGGGTGGTCGTCGTCGTCCCAAAAACTTCATTCAAGACACTGAGACCCATTCTCCATCTGGATATCCTGCTAGCTTGGCTCACCGCCCACACCTCAGCAACGCGTCGGACAAAAAGTTTGAGTGCTGTCCGAACCAGAAAGTGAACCACATCACACATCTTCTCATCAAATTCCAGACCAACTAGATCAGAAGGAAGGCGCATAGCTCAACGGACACCTTCTTAAGGGGACAAGGCTTCTGTAATTCAGGGTAATGTGCCGCAGTGATACAGACGACAAACTCAGTGCATGAGTTGCGCAGAATCTGAGACACTGACCGAGACGGGGCGAGGCAGGAATAAGCAATGGAACAAACAGCTCGAGCCTGGATGCGACAAAGCAAGATGTGATTCCCATCACAGAGGCGGACCAACTGAAGCATTCCAATGCTCTCAAACTCTTCGGCTGCATTGCCTACAAACTACATGTATATGCATGTAAGTTGCATGTATATACGTGACTATCTACCTATCTACCCACATATCTATCTCCCGCTCTCTATCTCTCTCTGTCTCTCGCCCTCCCCCTGTCTCACTCTCGCTCTTACACACATGCAAACAATCCTTGCACGAGACTTCCTCCCGTCAACATGACAGTGGGCAAGATCCAAGTCTAGCGCGGCTGTTTTTGCTGATTGTGCCGTCCGGAAACGAAGTCTGCTCAGCTTGTACCCCGCCGGTACCACCAGGCGGGCCTTCTGGCATACAGAAAGTTTCCTCCAAACCGAACGATAAAATTGGATGCAGCTCCTGCAATGCAAGTGCAAGGGTAGCGCTGCTCTTTGCACACGAAGCTCCCGAGCTAACACCCAATGAGCAAAGCAAAGAGCAACACTTCTGACCGGCCAGTCTCAGATGTCCCTGGCCGCTCGGCTGGTACCACCAGCAGGGGGGGCCGTCAAGCCTCGCAGACCTTGAACTGCATAGAAACGTCTCCTCCAGGCCGGATAATGATGACACTTTCGTCCCACCGTGCCCAATCCGAAGCAGGTGGATACAAGTGAAGGCTGACAGCGATGCTCTTTCGACACAAAAAACAAAAGCTAACCGAGCTTTAGCACTAGGGTGACGACAAAGAGCAACGCTATGCCAGCACTACTAACCGGCCAGCTGTCTAAGACGTCAGAGGTCCATGTGCACCTCGCCTCCCGCCCCGGCCGCTTTGTTGAAGGCGCGGAGAACGGCGAAGTGGTCCTCGGCGTCTTGGAAACCTGCCTGGACACGCAGCTGCGCCACCGTGTTCTCAAAGCGTGAGAGGTAGAGCACGATCAGGAGGAGCGGCATGATCTCCGGGTCGATCTTATCCGTGTCTGGGAACATAGAGCTCTTTGCGCCGTAAAAGAGCAACTCCGCCGTTGCCGCTGCCTTCTGTTCTGTCACTTCGATGCCCATGTTGGCCAGCCAGGACTTCAGCTTCTTGGTGTCCTTGGCTGCTTCCTGGGAGGTCGGAGCCTCGTGCGCGAAGTGCAAGAAGCGACGGCGCTGCTCCTCCGTGGGCTCACAGCACTGCCCGAAGTCCAGCAGTGCCAAGCGCCCGTCCTTCAGGACCATGAGGTTGCCTGGGTGCGCATCCATCTGGAAGAAGCCATGATTCAGCACCATGTCTGCAAAGGCACTGTAGACTGAATCCCGCTGCTTCCGTCCAAAAAGGTCGTTCTGCGCTCCTCCTCCCTGCTTCCAGCCAGCAATGGCCTCCGCCGCTGTGATGCCCTCCAGCTTCTGCATGACCAAACCCTCCGGCGAGGACATGTACACCTTCGGGCCAGGAATCACACAGAAAATTGAAGTTGTTGCACAGCAACATGCCATGCTCATGTAGTCCTACCCTGGACTTGCTACTTGCTACAATGCTGCAAAATCCAAAAGTCTTCCTACATCGCAGTACACGGGAAGACCGCCACCTGAGCGACGGCCACATCTGTGCCGTGCCGCCGGAAGAGCTCGCGCACACGCTCCTGATTCGCCGCTTCTTTCGTGAAGTCCGTCTCCATCTCCACCGTCGGTGCCAGCTTCTCCGCCAGAGCCGCCAGCATCACGGCCGCACCCTTCGCCTCTTCATACTCGTTCACATAGGCCCCTAGCTCAGCCATGGTCTTCAAGTCGCCGGTGTACTCCGCCCTCACGTGTGCGTGCTGCACCTTGGCAACAGCTGGCCATCCACTCCAAGTGGCCTTCAAGTGCACCTGCGCGATCGACGCGGACTTCTTAGGCTCATAGCTCCAATGCAAGCTGGGACCAAAAGCCCCCAGCACTCGCTGCACATGCTCTGGCGGGCTGAAGAATTCCGTGTTCTCCTGTGCCTTGGAGAACCACTTCCTGTACCCGTCGGGAAGGTCATCGCGCAGCCCCACAAACTGCATGGCTTTAAACGGTAAGCCGCCCAATCGAAGACCCACCTCGTAGAGCAATTTTGCAGTCGCATGGTGCCGCTCTTCCCAAGAAAGCTTGGAGGTTTCAAGGCTTGGCCAAAAGCTGGCTAATCCAGGCACCCACCGGCTGATCGTCTCCACGGGCGCGCCTTTCTGCTTCATCATGCCGATGGTGTAAATGTTGATGGCGACATCCACTACGGCTTTTGCCAGTGCTTTCCGCTCATCTTCGCCCAGCACAAGTCCACCCTGAACAAGATCTTGTCCGACCATCCTTCCTCAGCTTAACTTCTGAAATCCCTACACTAGCCATGAAGCTCCTCTCGCCTCCGCAGTCACGGTGATCCACACACTCTCGATGCAGACAAGGTTCAGAGCAGACTGGAGACGTCGAGATGGAGCGAGATGGTAACACGGAAAGCAGCGGACGGCTCGAGCCTTTGGATTCCACGAGAAACTGCATTGTCCCGGGTCACGTCGACAGACCAACTGGAACATGGCACACCCGCAACAACAAGCACATGCAAAAATCCACGTGAAGCCACGTGCCTTAGGTAGCCTTTCTTCGCAGGCATGCTACTGGGTGTTCAACTTCCGCACCGCGGAAAACTTCCTCCAGACCGAACAGCACACTTCGACACAACAGCCTCCACCCAAGCAGAGCTGATAGAAGTCATGCAAGGCCCGTGGCTGTGCGGATGGGGTGGATGGATCATTTACGCCACCAAGTGATAGAAACCTAGTTATGTCGGCAGCCCAGCAACATTTTGACTTCGACATGGACCAATTTAAAACATGTTGAGTTCACTTCTAAAACGTAACCTCGAACACCATGCTGTCCGTCGCAGATTTCTTCACCACGTGATTCCCACGGATTCACGCGGCAGTGAGCAGTGTGCTTCCGGCGTGGGCCGCTGATGACGCTGTATCTGCAATGAAGATTTTGATTAAGGATGCTCACAACCGTCCCCTGCAAGCAAATGTAGTCGCAAAGACCCTCCTGTGAAGATTGTAAAGATGAGAAGCGTCTGGCGTACCGCACAATCATTGGTTAGAAGAACAATGTAAAATCCAAACCAAAACCGTCCAAACCTCAAGCAACGAATGTCTCTTGTACAACAAGAATACTTTGACTTTCTCATCCGAACATGAGAGTAGCCAGATTTCGCGTCGCATCAGAATGCCCTGAAGAACTTCAAAGCACTCACAGGATGACTGGAGCTGCAATCTGCGTCATGCCGGCGCGGAATCACAGTATCCAACAAAAGCAAGACCAACACAATCAGGCGCACTGACGCTGGCAATCACGCCGTGTTGCAATTTACTGCGTTCCCAAGCATCGTGCCAGCAAACCAAAGCGATGGATGCCTTCGACGTGTGCTGCTACATGCCACTCCACCACTTCGGGATCAAATCGAGGCACCATGGGTCGCGCAATGGCTCATGGGTCATAAAGCGCACGTCCCACTCGGTCAACCCCAAGCCGAATGCCAGGAGACTCAAACAGCAGAAAAGAACGAATCCACAATCAAATCGTCCCAGTCTGTCAGCTGTGTGGCCCAGGCGACCAACAGGAAGAGGGACTACTGTGCCGGATTCTCTTGTTTCGTTTGCTCAATTGCATAGCTGCACAACATCGTTGCTGTCGTTGTCTCTGAACCTGCAGCAGCTCAAGCTGTTGTTGTGTTGGCTGCGTAAACAAGAGAGAAACTGTGAAAGATTGTGGCCTTCACAGCAATACCTGCTTGCTAGAGTTTTTTGTCAATACCTGCATTCAAAAAGTGTAAAAAGCGGTGCCAAAAATGGGCCCGGAATTCGGGCCCGTTTCTGGAGCCTTCTAGCGTTGGCACAATTACGGAAGGCTCAGAAAACGGGCCCATTTTTGGGCCCGCATTTCGGTGCCGGAGAACCACTTCCGAGCTCGTCATTGGAGTCGCAAAATCTGGGCGCGGATCGAGAAATACCGTCCAATGCCACCAGTCTTCGCTATAGCTGGATAACTCCAATGTGAAGCACCCAATTATACTGCTTGCATGTCTTGAACACAAATTCGATTTCAACGGTCAAGTTGAGGCCTGCTGCATATAGTCTTACCAATTGCAGTTGCAACTGTGCCGGATTCTCTTGTTTCGT